AGCCTTAGCCCCCCTAATTTTTATTCTAAGTCTTCACCCTTTTTCTAATTTCAGTTTTTTTGCCGAGAAATACAAAAAAAAAATTTAAGAGAAAACGGGAATTCGTAAGCAAAATCGGCATACGACAAAATCGATTTTGCAGTTTCGTGTAACTCTTAAAAAAATTACAGCTGAAACATGCAATTTTCATCGAATGTTTTTATTAATATTTTTTTTATACCTCAAAACGTTGACTTGCTTCGAGCTGTTTACAGACATTTTCAGGTTCCCAGTGTTTTGGTTTTTTTTTCCTTTAAATGTCAATAAAATGTTAAGCGTGACAATTTAATACAAGGCTTCTAATATATTGCTACAATATCAGTTGAAAAATATTAAAAATACATGGGCACGATTTTGTTTTATAAGCATTTTAAGTTCAAATTTGAATAAAATATATCAAATTATTTTGCAGCTGAGTATTTATTAAATTATCAACTTTTATAGCTAAGGATCAAAAGTTTTAAACAGAGTTGCTTACAAATAGTTAATTACGAATCCAAAAAATCTAAAAAATATATATTAACACAGTTATAGATCATTTTAAGTTCAAATTTGCAAGGAAATTACTTATTAAAAAAAAATAACTTTTTTTATTTTAGCAGTATAATATTGAGGTTTATAACAATTGAGTCACTTTTTTTTTTTGCATAACAATAACGGTTTTTCCATGTACAATATTAAAAACTAAATACATGTTCCATTGGTATTTTGTTTAGGTATCTCAGATGTTACACCTAAAAATGAATATTTTTTTGTTACGTGTAATGTTAATAGAGAGAAATTTGAACACGAAAAGCGAATTGTTTTATTAAACCACAAACATCACGATCACTTATAAATTATAATATATTATAGAGAATTATACAAGTTGACTTATTTAAAGTAAAATTCGATGGATATTACAATAATCGGAACATTTATTTTTGATCTTAAAAATAATAATAAAATAATGACCGTGATTGATGTATAATATACTCATTAGTCATTACTCATATATATATTTTAATGATTATACCTACCTATGTATAATTAAAAATGAGGTTGACAACAATCACGCGACCCGTACGGTTTAGAATTTATAATGTACCCCACATAACTTATAACTTGGTACATTTACATAAAATAAATTTTAAAGTTTTGTGTTGCAAAGGAAAAATCTAGTCGGTACTTGGTATACATGCAATAAAGTAATTTAAAGTGTTTATACCTACACTAAAATCATTATTATACAATACTACTTATTCAAGTAGTATTGTATACGCAACTTGTTTTCCACAAGTTCTCATTTGTTACACTTGTCGTAATTGTAAAATCGTATAATAATTATATGTGTGTGTATTATAGTAAAATTATTTGTCGCTATCACATATTGATATCTTCGGATTTCGCCGAGTCGCACTGACTCGCAATTGACTATAAAAACCGAATTTCGTGTTTACAATATTTTGCTTTCGTCAAAAATAATAATACAACATGTTGTTCAGGTATTTCATTTGTTTGGATTTAACCGTTTTATTTATTTTGTATGGGTTTTTTTTTATTAAATTATAATATATGTGGATACATTGCACGTACGCACATACGCGTATGGCTTATACATATTTATTGAAGTGAAATTCGCAGGGTTTATTTTCATGGTTTACTTTTTAGAGGTCAACTAATTATTTTAATTATTTTAAAATGTTTACCCACATATTTGTATAGTAATCTAAGGCTTTTACGTTCCACGTCCCCTTTTATGAGTTTTTAAATTCATTGAGAGGTATATTGAGACTTATACATGTAGGTATAAATGTATAATATTTTGTGTTCAAAAATAAATCATTCTTTAAATATGCCTACTCAACTCGATTTTAAAGAGGAAAAATACAGAGATTTATGTAAGTATTCGTGAGTTTATTGAAAGTTGAAAATATTTCATTTTAAATAATATTCGGAAAGGAGAGAAAAAAATATATTAATTCTATGCATTAGAGTTGTGAACAGAGAGTTAAATTTTGAAGGAATAGTATTTAAATTTAAAATAATAAACAACAGATAAGTGTTTTGAAAGTTTTGATTCACAGAAAAGTTTTGAATTTCCACGCTTTGTAATTAAAATAATAAATAATAAGTAATACGTTTGTCTTGTAGACTTTGTTAATTGTATAAAATAATAAAACTGATTTTTTTGCGAGTGGATAATAATAAGAGCAAGTTAAATATATTTATACATTAATAATTGTTTAAAGAACTCTTTCTAGTACACATTGTACCTAGTTTAATTAAATTAAACTTCGTCTGACAACGTTTAGAAATAATTTAAACATGTTCACATTTCCTCAACTTAAATAATTTCAATATAACATTATGTGAATTTTAATGACAAATTATTCACCTAGTTCTAACAAAACACAAGAACAGACAACAATTTAAAATTGTAATATCACACAATATTATAATAACTTTTTATTTGTATTACCAAGTACGAACTCCCAGA